TGCATATAGCAGACTAGATATCCTAACCCCATGTGGCTGGTCTGGTAAATGTGATTTCTACTAGATGTACTAACAGTTATTTCCCTCTTTCCTTTTGGAAATAGCACCAGTGGTTCTGACAGCTCCCTCTCAGATGGTCTCCCTGTTCACCTACAGAGCATAGCAGATGAGGTGAGGTCACATTGTCTCTTATACCCAGGAAGCAGCAACCTTTAAAAAATCATGACACTGAGGCCAGCAGGTGGCATGGTGGTTAAAGATGCTGGACTCCTACATGGCCAACCACTGCTCAAATCTCAGACCTGTTGGCTTGCTTTCTCACTTTCCCTTTCTCTTTCTCTCTGGTCAAACTGGAAAATAATAATAATAATAATAATAATAAATAATGTTAAATAATTATTTTTAACACCCTTATTAAAAAAAATCATGTGGGGCCGGCAGGTGGCATGGTGGTTAAGGATGCTGGACTCCTGCATGGCTGACCACGGTTCAAGTCCAGACCTGGCAGCTTGCTTTTTCACTCTCTCTCTCTCTTGCTCGCTCGCTCGCTCACTCTATCTTTTCCTGGTCAAATTAAAATAAAGAAATAAAGTTAAATAAAATAATTCTTTATATTACTACTGGGACCAGCAGGTGGCATGGTGGTTAAGGTCTTGGACTCCCACATAGCTGACCACAGTTGACGTACCAAATCTGGCAGCTTAAGAATCACACCGGGCATGTGTGCACACATGCATGCTCAAAATCCCCAGAAAGGAATGGAGGAAAAGAGATTATGGCATGGCCATTCCCCTTTGGGGGATGATTTCTCCCTTTTCCTCTTTTTCTTTTTTTTGGAGAGGTTTTTGCTATAGGGGCGTGCACTCGCCAGAAAGACTGAGAGAGATAGAGAGACAGAAAGTGAGAAATCACCCCCTGGGGGGATGGCCACACTGCAATCCCTTCTCCTTCATTCTCCTCTTGGGACCTTGGGCACACACGCACATGCACCCAGCGTGAGTTTAAGCCACTGGGTCCGGGACTCGAACCACGGTCAACTTCATGGGAGTTCAGCGACATAGCCATTACACCAACTGCTGATCCCCTCACTTTTCCTTTTGTCGTCTCTCTCTCTCTGTCTCTCTATCTCTCCAGTGAGTGTATGTGCCCTATGGCAAAAACCTAAAAAAAAAAAAAAAAAAAGACACTACTAGATAATATGGTAGAATTTTCTGTCGTAAGATCTGCAAAAAGTACAGCGAGAGTATCTCAATCTGCCACCCCGCCCTGCAGTCTCGCATTTCACCTTTTGTAACCCTCTTGCTGAATTATTAAAGCTGCCTATGATAATGACAAAACTGAATCTTTCAACCACTCATCTAATGAGCAGGACCGCCCACACCAGATTCGGGTTATGGGTGCCATTTTGGCTGTGCATCTCTAACCGTGGGTAAGGAGGTTAACAAGCTGTTTGTTCATCCTTTAGACCAGCACCATACAGGCCACCTGTGGGGTTTCCCACTGTGTCTTGACCTTGTCTGAAAAGAGCCCCACATGTGGTTGGACATAGTCCAGAATCTCCACTGAACAATTTCTCTGTGTTTTCTGGAATAGTTGAATCAAAAGAAGAAGATGTCAAAGAAAAAAAAAAAGAAGCCACTTAAGACTAGGAAACAGCGAAATGAGCAGTACCAGAAAAATAATTTGATACGAGAGTTAAAGTTAACAGAAGAGGCCCCGGTAAGAAAGCTTGCTGCTCACTTCTGCTGTCTGGTTACAGAGTATTCCATAGAGGGGAGCCCAAAAAGGGATTGAAGATTACTCTAAACCAGAAATGGGGTGGGACTGAGATGGAGGAAACTGTATTTTGAGGTCCCAGCCCTCATAGGGACCCTCTGGACATCTCTGAGCAGGTTTCCCCAAGCCCTCCATCCTCTCCTACACTTGAACGTTTCCATAAGAGTAGAATGGGAAGTGGTTCCTAGAGCTAGTCCAGAGTGGCTTTGTGGCTGAGGGATCAATTGGGCCTGGCTCCAGGTCGCTCCTTCTCAATGCTTCTCCAATCTGCCACACCTACCCCATACCTCCTTTATGAAAATGGAAATGTTTTCATAAGTGGGAGATTTGCTGTTTGGTGGTCTGGGTCAATTATGAACGGATCAACTGAAAAAAGTTCTCTCTTCATTTATCCCTTCTAGGAAAGGGCAAGATTTACTTCTGTACTGCAAAAGCAGCGTACTTTTTTAAAAAACTCAGAGAATTCTACTTCGACAATAAATAATGTAAAACCAAGGTTGAAAGAGGTAATATTTTTGTTTAACTCTTTGTCACACAGATTCTGAGTTCTCCAATTAGCATGTCTATCCTATAAGGTGAAGGCAGGAACTATTCACATCACCCTTAGCTGTCAGATCTCTGGGAGCAAGGGACCATAGAATGGGAGATACTGACATGATGTTGGGTTAGACACCACTTAGGGTGGACCTCAAATACTGATGATTTGTGATTTTACACCAAGAATGTTAGAATAGGCTGCTTTGCGGCCAGCAGATGGTGTAGTAGTTGTCACTGGACTCCCACGGGGCCGACCACAGTTCAAGTCCCAGACCCAGTGGCTTGAAAATTACATTGGGTACATGTGCATGCATGCCCAAGACCCCAGGAGGAGAATCACCCCGGGGGTCATTTCTCACTTTCCCTCTCTCATTGTCTGTCCCCCTCTGATAAGCGTATGCACCCTAAAGTAAAAAACTCTTAAAAAAAAAAAGAACAGGCTGCTTTATTATCCAGTCATTCATTCATCCATCTGTCCATCCTGCATCGATGGGTTTCATTGCGTTCCTCCTACATGTCAGGCCCTCTACTGGATTCTAGAAATTCAGTACTGAACAAGTTATTGCTGCCTCGAAGACCTTAGAGTTTATTGAGGATTTTAACAGATAACCAGGAAACTGTATCATAAATAGAATGTGGATGTAATTCAAAGCTCCTGATCAACTTTTATTGCAGTAAGAGTTTTGTGGCTATAAAATCCTTGAATCATTTTTTTTTTAATTTGCAAGGATGCATGCACTCACCTAGTAGTCCCCCTGGGGGATGGCATTCTGCAGTCCTTTCTCCATTTTTCCCTCCTGTTGGGATTTTGGGCACACATGCACATGTGCTTGGCATGTTTTTCAGGCTGCCAATTCTGGGACTCGAACTACACAGTTGGCCATGTGGGATCCAGTAGCCTTAACCACTATGCCACAGGCTGGCCCCTTGATTCTTTTTTGTATAAAAATGGGTTTTGGAGGGCCCCTCTGTGGGGCAGTTGTGATGCTCTGCTCAAGAGAAACCAGATTCCCACATGGCCACCATGGTTTGAGTGCCCAGTCCAGTCAGACTGAAATACACCAGACACTCACATGAGTGCCTAAAATCTGAAGGGTTAGAGGACTGGAGGAAGGGTATCATGGTGTGACCACATCTTGTGGAGGATACTCATCTCTCTTGCCCTCTTATTTTCTCTCACTTTTACATGCATTCACACATGTTCTATCATTTATGAAGAAAAATTGGGGGGACCAGCAGATGGTGTAACAGTTATGTCACTGGACTCCCATGCAGTTGACCGCAGTTTAAGTCCTGGACCCAGTGGCTTAAACTCACACCAGGTGCGTGTGCATGCACGCCAAAGATCCCGAGAAGAGAATGGAGGAGAAGGGATTGCAGTGTGGCCATCCCCGCTGGGCGAGTGATTTCTTGCTTTCTATGTCTCTGTTTCTCTCTTGTCTTTCTGGCAAGCACATGTGCCCTATAGGAAAAATCTCTATAAAGAAAAGATTTTTTTGGTAAAATAATGGTTAATTCTTAGACAATAGTCCCCCATGTGGAGTGCTACCCTGTGATTAACAGTGCTACAGTGAGATCTCACTGCACTACCCCACAGGCCACAGCTGTCCCTGTTCTATACTGAGCACCATTTAGTATCTGGTGTAACAGTAACAAGAACACAAGGCTTTTTTTGTGTTTTTTTTTTTTTTATTATTTTGCCATAGGGCACGTACACTCACTGGAGAGAGAGGGAAAGTGAAAAATCACCCCCCAGGGGATAGCCACACTGCAATCCCCTCTCCTCTTTTCTCCTCTTGGGATTTTGGACATATATGCACATGTGCCTGGCATAAGATTTTCTCTTTTGTTTTTTTAAGATTGAATCATTTTTATTTATTCATTCATTCATTTTTAATTTGACCAGAGAGAAAGTGAACAGCAAGCCTCCAGGTCCAAGACACGAACCGTGATCGGCCATGTTAGAGTCCACCACCTTAACAACCATGCCACCTGCTGGCCCCCTGGTATAAGATTTCAAGCCTTTGGGTCCAGAGCTTGACCCACAGCTATATGGGAATCCAGCACCTTAACCACCATGCCAACTGCTGGTCCCTAAGAACACAAGCCTTTTTTTCTTTTTTAGAGGTTTTGCCTTTATGGCGCTTGCTGGAGAGAGACAGAGACAGACACAGTGAGAGGGAAAGTGAGAAATCACCCCTCAGGGGGATGGCTATGCTTCTATTCCTTCTCCTCCATTCTCTTCTCGGGATCTTGGGCACTTTTTTGTTTTTTTTTTTTTTTGAGAGATTTTCATTGTAGGGCGCGTGCGCTCGCCAGACAGACAGAGAGAGAGAGACATAGAGACAGAAAGCGAGAAATCACCCCCCAGGGGGGATGGTCACGCCGCAATCCCTTCTCCTCCATTCTCCTCTCGGGATCTTGGGCACGCACGCACACGCGCCCGGCGTGAGTTTTAAGCCACCGGGTCCGGGACACGAACCGCGGTCGACTATGTGGGAGTCCAGCGACATAGCCATTACGCTAACTGCTGGTTCCCCCTAGTGTGAGTTTTAAGCCACTGAGTACAGGACTCAAGCCACAGTCACCATGTAGGATTCCAGTGATGTAACCACCATCTGCTGGCCCCAAGTCTCACTATTTAATATTCCATGAGTTATTTAACATCCTTGGGACTCAGCTCTGCATCTGAAATATTGGGGTAATAATATCTGCATCATAAGATCGTTATGAGACTTAGATGCAAAACTGTCAAATACTTGGCATATGGTAGGCAAGCAGCAAAGGGATTCAGTAGTCCCCTTTCCTTCTTTTTTTTTTTTTTTTTTTTTAATTAAGTATAGGGTACCTGTGCTGTCCAGGGGAGCGGGGGGTTAGAAATCACCCTTCAGGGGGTGATGACCACATTGCGATTACTTCTCTTCCTTTCTCCACTTGGGATTTCAGGCAAATACACACAGGTGCCTGGCATATTTTTTTAAGTCACAAAGTCAGGGACTCAAACTGTACCATCAGCCATGTGGGACCCAACTGCCCCTTTTTCTTTCTTTTCTTTGAATTGTTTAGTTTGTGTTTTGCTTCTCTTTTTGTTAAACTATTGTAACAAATCAACATATATGAATGAAAGCACATAAATAATGAATATCCAGTATAATTACACTTGTACAAATGGAAAATATAGTGAGATTTAAAATAAATATGTTCATTTATTTTAGATGCAGTTAAATGGAAGGGACAATGGTACCTCCCTGGACCCATCAATGTCCACATTGATTCTAACTAAGAAAGAGAGAATGCAGGTATGTCACCTACTTTGCATGCATGTATTTTGATAAGTTTAATTACTCCAGCTACTAATTTTAATTAGTTTTCAAGTACTAGGAATTTCAAAAAACGTGTGGAAAATTAGAATTGAAATGTGGGTTTATGAGACCAGCAGGTGGCATGGTGGCTAAAGTGCTGGACTCCCACGTGGCTGACTACAGTTTGAGTCTCAGACCTGGTGGCTTGAAAATCACATTGGCACATGTGCATGAGTACCCAAAGTCCGAAGAGGAGAGTGGAAAAGGGATTGCAGCATGGCTGTCCTCCCTGAGGTGTGATTTCTCACTTTTCCTTTCACTCTCTCTCTCTCTTCAGCGAGTACATGCAGCCTTTGGTAAAAACCTTTAAAAATATATACATATGTGTGTGCATGTGTGTGTATGTGTGTATGTAATTTTTTTAGTTTATTTTGGTACAGAAAGGCTTTTAAATTCATACATAGTTTTTTCACAATATACATTTTCCATGAAGTTTTTAAGACCCCGTGCATGTTATGTGATTTGGTGGGGTGGTGATTGAAATCCACAGTTTTGCCTTTTCTGGTCTGCTTTGCTCAGATGAAGGAGTTTGAACCCTCAGGCTGCAAACCACGTGGTCACCATGGAGCTTGGTCCACAGGTACTACAGGACCAGAGGAAGCTCACCGAGAGCTAAAAACTGTCCATGGAGATTTTTTTTTTTAAATTTGCTGTAGAGCACATCTGCTAGCCAGAGAGAAGGAGAGAAAGGCAGGGAAGAGAGAAGTTACCCCCCAGAGGGGATTGCCATGGCACAATCCCTTCTCCATTTTCCTGTCAGGATTTTAGGCACATGTGCCTGGTGTGTTTTTCAAGCCAACAGAACATTAACCTCAAAGTCATCCCTGTAGGATTCAGCCACCTTAACCACCATGCCCTGGCTGGCTTAAGAGTATATTTTTTGGGAACCAGCAGTTAGCGTAATGGCTATGTCGCTGGACTCCCACGTAGTCGACCGCGGTTCGTGTCCCAGACCCGGTGGCTTAAAACTCACACCGGGCGCGTGTGCGTGCGTGCCCAAGATCCCGAGAGGAGAATGGAGGAGAAGGGATTGCAGCGTGACCATCCCCCCTGGGGGGTGATTTCTCGCTTTCTGTCTCTATGTCTCTCTCTGTCTGTCTGGCAAGTGCACGCACCCTACAGTGAAAATCTCTCCAAAAAAAAAATAAAGAATATATTTTTAAGTTTATTTGTTTTATTTCTTTCATGAGAGAGAGAGTGAGGGGATTCCTTTCCCCTGGCCCTGCAGCCAGTCATGATTTGAGTGTTCACACTGCCCTGTGTTTCAGATCGATTCAGGATCCAAACCCACAGTCAGCCATGTGGCTTCAGGCACTGAAGAGCATGCCCAATGCCACCTGTACCACCATGGCTGGGCCCCATCGAGAATTTTATTTCAACAATTTATTTTATTTGGCAGTGAATGCATCAGGTACAATGGTGATAGTTAATAATGCTGCAATTCTCAACAGTCATGTGTGTCAACACATGGTGTTGCTATCAGTTGTGTAGTGTCCCTCAGACCTAGTGTTACCACTGATTACTCAGTACTAAGGTTTGTGAATGATTTGCTAGAGGTTTTGTTTGTTTGTTTTTTAGTTATCATTATTCTTCAATTTTGACCCAAGATAGACCAACAGAGAGAAAGAGTGAGAAAGCAAGCCACCAGGTTCAGGATTTTAACCGTGGTCAGCCATGTGGGAGTCCAGCATCCCAAACACCACGCCACCTGTCGGCCCCACTGGGGTCTTTTTAAAGAATTATTTATTTAATGTTATCTATTATTATTTTATTTACTTATTTTATTTTATTTTTGGAGAGGTTTTTGCTATAGGGCACGTGCGCTCGCCAGAAAGACAGAGAGAGACAGAAAGCAAGAAATCACCCTCCAGGGGATGACCATGCCAAAATCCTTTCTTCTCTATTCTCCTCTCAGAATCCTGGGCACACACGCACACGCACTCAGCGTGAGTTTAAGCCACTGGGTCCAGGACTCGAACCGCGATTGACTACATGGGAGTCCAGTGACATAGCCATTACACTAACTGTTGGTCCCTATTATTATTTTATTTTTTAGAGAGATTTTTGTTATTGGACATACACCAGAGAGTCAGAGAGAGACAGAAAGCAAGAAATCATCCCCCAGGGGGATGACCATACCTCAGTTCCATCTCCTCCATTCTCCTCTTGGGATCTTCGGCATGCACACACATGAGCCTGGCGTGAGCTTTAATTCACTGGGTCTGGGACTCAAGCTACAGTCAACTGCATGGGTGTCCAGTGACATAACCATTACACCATCTGCTGATTCTGCAGCACTTTTTTTTTAGTTATTTCTTCTGTGAGAGAGACAGAGAAAGGGAAGGTAAGACAGCAAACTGTCAGGTCTGGGACTCAAACTGTAGTCAGCCATGTGGGAGTCCAGTACCCTAACCACCATGCCACCTGCTGGCCTTGATTTGTTTTAAAGAATCAACTTGGGGGCAACAGGTGGAGGTTAAGGTACTGGACCTGACATGGCTGACAGTGTGATTTAACCTGGCAACTTGAAAAATGCTGTGTGCGTGTGTGAAGGGATTGCAGTGTGGCCATTCCCCCAGGGGTTACTTTCTCACTTTCTCTCTGTCTCTCTCTCTCTCTCTAGTAAACACATGTGCCCTATAGCAAAATTAAAACAAAAGGCAACAAACAAAAATAAGAGTGAATTCCTACTTACTCTATGGTAGCTTTTTTCCTCACTCATTTGCCTTTTGCATGTTGAGAGAGAGGAAAAGAAGTGGAGAAACAGCTAGTAAGGTGACATTTCAAATAGCCTTGGCGGTGCCAGACGGTGCGGTGGTGGTTCTGCGGGTCTGGTGCACATAGGAAGGTTCTGGATCTGCATGCAGAGACCACACAGGAGCATGCCTGCCCACAATCTAGGCTGGCTAAAGCTGGGGTGGATCAATGCCAGGCCCTACTGGCAGTGCTGTTTCTCTCTTTGTCTCTCTCATGGAAGAAATAAACTTTAAAAAAAAAAAAAGGCTCTGTGGAAACAGCAGATGACATAATGGTTACATCACTGGGCTCCCACAGAGTTGACTGCAGTTCAAGTCTCAGACCTGGTGTCTTAAAAACCATGCTGGGGGGACCAGCAGGTGGAGTGGTGGTTAAGGGCACTGGACTCCCACATGGCCAGCCATGGCTCAAGTCCTGGACCTGGTGGCTTGCTCTCTCACTTTCTCTCTCTCTCTCTCTTTCTCTTTCTCTCACTCTGTCCCTCTCTAGTCAAATTAAAATAAATAAATAAAACGAATAAAATAAAATTAAATAATTCTTTTAAAAAAATAAAAAATTCAGGGCTTGCAGGTGGCTTAGCAGTTAGAGGCTCTGGACTCCCACATGACCAACTGCAGTTCAAGTCCTGTACCTGGTAGCTTGCTTTCTTGCTTTCCCTCTCTCTCTGATCAAATTAAAAATTAATAATAAATAAAGTTAAATAAAATAATCCTGAAAAAAAAGGAGAGACTCACACCAGGCATGTATGCATGTGTGCCCAAAATCCCAAGAGGAGAATGGAAGAAAAGCAATTGCGGCATGGCCATGTCCGTTGGGAGTGACTTCTCACTTTCTGTCTCTTTGTCTCTGTCTCTCCAGTGAGCACATGCACCCTATAGCAAAAATCTCTCTTTAAAAAATAGCACTGGGCACCCCTCTGGTTGGGTGTCGCCCACATTTTCTGGGTGGAACAGAGGTTGAGAATCACTGCCTTAACTTAAGTGTATGAGGTGGAGAATGGACAGTTCTTCCCAGGTGAAACCCTTCTGTCTGCCCAGGTCTGTCACTTGGAATTCTGGAGTTGATGTTCTGATTTACCTATCCATCTTCTGGAGGACCTCTTATGTATAGGGTCCTTAAAGGATTTTTTTTTTTGGAAAGGTTTTCGCTGTAGGGTGCGTGCGCTCGCCAGACAGACAGAGAGACAGAAAGCGAGAAATCACCCCCCAGAGGGGATGGTCACGCCGCAGTCCCTTCTCCTCCATTCTCCTCTTGGGATCTTGGGCACGCACGCACACGCGCCCAGCGTGAGTTTTAAGCCACCGGGTCTGGGACATGAACCGCAGTCGACTACGTGGGAGTCCAGCGACATAGCCTTTACGCTAACTGCTGGTTCCCCTTAAAGGATTTTTGACAAAACCCTCTCAAAGGGGTGGTAAGACAGAGTCAGATTAGCTTAGGGTGATAGAAATTGGAGAACAATGAAAAATAGAGTTTTTGTTTTTGTTTTTGTTTTTCAGTTTAGTTTTGCTATAGAGCGTATGCACTCGCCAGAGACAGACAGAAAGAGAAAATCAGCCCCCAGGGAAGAAGGGCATACCACAGTCCGTTCTTCTCCATTCTGTCCTCTGGGCATGCATGCACATGCACCCAGAGTGATTTTCAAGCTGCCACATTCAAACTTAAACCATGCAGTCTGTCATGTGGGATCTAGTGCCTTAACTCCCACACCATTTGCTGACTCAAGAGAGGTTTAAATAAAGTCAGGTAAGGGACCAGCTGTTAGCCTAATGGCTATGTCGCTAAACTCCCATGTAGTCGACCACGGTTCAAGTCTCAGACCCGGTGGCTTAAACTCATGCCAGGCCTGTGTGAGTGCGTGCCCAAGATCCCAAGAGGAGAACGGAGGAGAAGGGATTGCGGAGTGGCTATCCCCCCAGGGGGTGATTTCTCGCTTTCTGTCTCTCTGTCTCTCTCTGTCTCTCTGGCAAGCACATGCGCCCTATAGTGAAAAACCTCTCCAAAAAAGAAAATATTAAAAAATAAAGTCAGATAAAAGGCTTTCCATCTTGACTGACTAATAAATGATGAATTTGTCCTCTTTCTTCATTCAACATTTGTTGCACAGAGGCTACGGGTAGCTGAAACCATATCCTAGAACTGAAACCTGCTATTAGACTGTAATGTGCAACCATGGATTCAATTAAATCAAATATAGTGGATGAATACCATCCAGCCCTTTCTATTTGCTTCATTTCCTTAAAATTTCTTCTTTTGTTGTTTAAAAAGAATGATTTTATTTAACTTTATTTGTTTATTTACTTATTTTAATTGACCAAAGAGGGACAGAGTGAGAGAGAGAGAGAGGAAGTGAGAAAGCAAGCCACCAGGTCTAGGACTCGAACCGTGGTGGGCCATGTGGGAGTCCAGTACTCTTAACAACCACGCCACCTGCTAGCCCCCATTTCCTTAAAATTTCTAGTGTAATATTTCTCTAACAGGGATGTGGGCTTTGAACTTCAGTAACAATGAGATAAACTATTGAAGAAAGGCAGATGAGGCCAGCAGGTGGCGTGGTGGTTAAAGGCACTAGACTCTCACATGGCCAACCATGATTCTAGTCCCAGACCTGGGGACTTGTCTCTCTTTCCCTCCCTCTCTCTTTCTCTCTCTCTCTCTCTCTGTCCCTCTTTGATCAAATTAAAAACAATAAAGTTAAATAAAATAATTATTTAAAAAAAAGGAAACAAAAAAACGGGAGGAGATTCCCACCTTCATCTATCACGTTCTTCTCTTTTGTGTAATGTTTCTGGACAGCTAAGCAAACGCAGTCCCTCCACTTCCTGTTGCCCAAGGACTCATGGATTTGTCTTTCTGAGGAACTGAGATGAATGCTCCATTCTCCTCTTCCCTGTAACAGTGGCAATTACTTTGGTATTTGGGGAGGAAATCCAAACATTTTTCACTAACTTCTTGTAAGTCCTACCCCAGCCCTAACTATAACTTAGGTAATAATAGCACAAAATAACTTGAACTATTTTATAAAGAATTATTTAATTTGGGGACCAGCAGATGGCATAATGGTTACGGTGCTAGACTCCCACATAGTTGACTGCGATTCAAGTTCCAAACTTGGTGGCTTGAAACTCACACAGGGCACGTGTACAGGCATGCCCAAAATCCCAAGAGGAGAATGGAGACAGGATGCATCATGGCCATCCCCTCTGGGAGGTGATTTCTCGCTTTCTGTCCCTGTCTCTCTGGTGAACACATGCACCCTATAACAAAAATCTAAAAAAAAAAAAAAAAAGAGAGAGTTATTTAATATTTTATAATAATAATAATAATTATTATTATTATTATTCACCAGAGAGAGACCAAGAGAGGCATAGTGAGAAAGTAAGCTACCAGATCCAGGACAGCAACTGCAGTCAGCTACATAGGAGTCCAACACCTTAACCACCACTTGAACTTTTTTTTATCTTATTTGAACAGAAGAAGGAAGCCTTAACAGCATCATGCTCTCCAAAGAGAAGTACCAGCTCCAGCCAAGAGCCAGCCCCAGGTATGAAACCCAGCTGGCATAGGAACAGCTATCCTGCTGCAAGGAGAAGCCGGCCCACCATGGCAGTGTACCCTTCCTTACACGTTTACACGTACCCATAGGTGCACTTGGGCCACAGCACACAGAGCTGGGGTAGACCCATTTTGTAACAGGGAGAGAGATGTGTGCTTAGGAACTGGGCTCGCTCATGGTATGCTGAGTCATGCATTCATCACGCACTGACCTTACACTTCACTCTTAACACTGTGCACATGTCCTCAGGACACATACCTCATGAATTCCATTATTTTTCATACAATGAAATTTTCTCATAACGTATAGAAAGTGCATCTTCATTATACCAAAGTGTGTGCTCATGGAACTACAGCACAGATACACTTCATTTTAACCAACCATCTCTCTAAAATAGGGGCAAATCCATTTTAAAGGTCCCATTATTTTAAACATATTTTGGGAGTATGCTATATGGAAAAAGGTCTTGTGTCCAAGCTTGCCAAGGATAAATGATTGGCTAGACTGTTGTACACCAGGTTTCCTCCGAGTCAGGTGTTTCCACATAGAGGTAACAGTTCATGTGTTACCTAGAATTTAATGTCGTGTATATTATGTTCAATAAGGCTATGTAAATCCTTCTACCTGATGATTAAAATTCTTTGTCTAATGAATTTGTTTTCTTTCTTTTTTTTTTTTTTAAGAGAGACTTTTTGCCATTGTGTGCATGCACTCGCCAGAGAGACAGAGAGACAGAAAGCAAGAAATCACCCCTGGGGGGATTGGCCACGCCGCAATCCCTTCTGTTCCAGTCTCCTCTCGGGATCTTGGGCACACATGCATATGCATTCGGCGCGAGATTGAAGCCACTGGGTCCAGGACTCCAAGTAGGGTCGACTATATGGGAGTTCAGCGACGTAACCATTTCGCCATCTGGTGGTCCCGACGAGTTTGTTTTTTGATTGACTAACTGCATAATCAGGTAATCATCCTTTTCTTCCCCATAGTCCTTCATGAATGTGCACCAAGCAAGTCTTCCAGCTAAAGCATGACCAGGTGACATGTCGGAACCATGTGCAAGAAGGGTCACTCCAGCTCATGCCACTACACTTACTTTTTAGTTTTTTGCCATAGGTCGTGTGCACTTGCTAGAGAGACAGGGAAAGTGAGAAATCACCCCTCTGGAGGATGACCAGACCACAGTCCCTTCTCCTTCATTCTGTTCCTGGGATTTGGGCACACAAGCACATACACCTGGCATGATTTTCAACCCACCTTGAACTGCAGTCAGCCATGTGGAAATCCAGCATCTTAACCACCCTGCTACCTGCTGGCTTCCCCTCACACTTTTTTATTGCAAGAGGGCATATGTACTCTCCAGAGGGAGGGAGAAGAAGAAAGCACCCCAAAAATGGGGTGTAGTCATACTGTATTCCCTTTCCTTCATTCCTCTATCCTGTCAGGATTTGGAATACACACACACGTCCTCAGTGTATTTTTCAAGCCACTGGGTCAGGATTTGAATTACAGTCAGCCATGTGGGATCAGCTCCCTTAACCACTAGACAACAGGGCCAACCTGGGTTGAAAGTTTTCTAATACATATATATATGTATGTGTGTTTGTGTATATATATATATATTTTTTTTTAAGACGTTTTTGCTATAGGGTGCGTGAGATCACCAGAAAGACAGAGACAGAAAGCAAGAAATCACCCCCCAGGGGGGATAGCCACACCACAATCCTTTCTCCTCCTTACCCTCTCGGGATCTTGGGCACGCACACACACGCACCCGGCGTGAATTTAAGCCACCGGGTCTGGGGCCTGAAATGAGGTTGACTACATGGGAGTTCAGCAACATAGCCATTATGCTAACTGATGGGGATCCTTTTGGGATCTTGAGCATGCACACACACACACACGCCTGGTGTGAGTCCAAGCCACCGGGTCCAGGACTCGAGCCACAGTCGACTGTGTGGAAGTCCAGTGACATAGCCATTATGCCAACTCCTGATCCCTCTAGTATATTTTTATTATTATTTTTAAACTCAGCCACTACCATTACCTGGGTGACTAATGACATATGACAACACAGATTGTATTACAATCCCAGTGTGTCTTTTTTTTAAATGTATCTTTAGAATTCTTTTTGATTTACAGAGAAATTGAGCAGATGGTGCAGAAAGTCCCCACTGCAGTCCCTTCTCTCCTCCCACCGTGAGTCTTTTTAAAGGAAGGATATCTTCCCATGCTCTTATATAGGGTGTTCACAAATGGCTTTCTCTTACACCATACCTTACTCATCTTAAAAGTCTTAGCATTTTATTTTATTTTATTTTAATTATTTAATTTTAATATTATTTATTCATTCATTTATTTTAATTTGATCAGAGAGAGAGAGAAAGTGAGTTAGCAAGCCACCAGGTTCAGGACTTGAACCATGGTCAGCCATGTGGGAGTGTCCAGCGCTTTAACCACCATGCCACCTGCTGGTCCCAGTCTTAGCATTTTAAGTATTTAGAAAGCACCCAGTCAAAACTGCACTTTTTGTTCCTAAAGGATATCTCTGGGGCTGGCAGATGGCATGGTAGTTCAGGTCCTGGACTCCCACATGGCCAACCACAGTTTGAATCCTGGACCTGGCAGCTTGCTTTCCCATTTTCCCCCCTCTCTGTCTGGTCAAATTAAATAATAATATTAACAAATAAATTTAAATGAAGTAAATAATTATCCCTTTTTTATAAAGGGTGGGGGAGGATATTCTTAAAGGACAAGTCCCAAAACCATTATTAACTGCTGAAGGCAAAGGCAAACCTCATTTGAAAGTTGTTCAAAAAGGGACCAGAATGTGGTATTATGGTTAAGACACTAGATTCCTACATGGTCAACTGCAGTTTGAGTCCCAGAACGGTGACTTGAAAATCATGCTGGATATGTGTACATGTGTGCCCAAAATCCCAAGAGGAGAATGGAGGAGAAGGGATTCTGTCATGGCCATCCCTCCCACCCATGCAGGTGATTTCTTACTTTCCGTCTCTGTCTCTGTCTCTGTCTCTCTCTCTCTGGCAAGCACACATGCTCTGTCAATAAACCTTAAAAAAAATTACTCAAGGGGACCAGCAAATGGTGTAATGGTTACGTTTCTGGACTCCCACATAGTTGACTATGGTTCAAGTCCCAAACCTGGCAGCTTAAATCTCACTCTGGGCATGTGTGTGTGCATGCCCAAAATCCCGGGAGGAGAATGGAGAAGGGATTGCAAAGTGTCCATTCCTCCTTAACAGCGATTTCTCTCTTTCTGTCTCTGACAAGCATACACACCCTGTAGCAAATATCTCTCTTTAAGAAAAATAAAAAATCCAGTACCCTGCAAGTAGTATGGTGGTTAAGGGTGCTGGACTCCTACATGACTGACCATGGCTCAAGTCCTGGACCTGGCAGCTTGCTTTCTCACTATCCCCACCCTCTGTTCCTCTATGGTCAAATTAAAATAAAGTAAATAAATAAAGATAAAATAATTCTTTTTTTAAAAAAAATAAAAAATCTGTTTCTGGGGGCCAGCAGGTGGCGTGGTGGTTAAGGGCACTGGATTCCCACATGGCCGACTGTGGTTTGAGTCCTGGACCTGGTGGTTTGCTTGCTTTCTTACTTGCTTGCTAGCTCTCTCTGTCTGTCTGTCTCTGTTTCTCTCTGGTCAAATTAAAAACAAAAATATCTGTTTTGGCTCCAGATAATGTTGGAGGTTTATAAAAAGCACCCCTGGGACCAGCAGTTAGTGTAATGTCTATTTCGCTGGACTCCCATGTAGTCGACCGCAGTTCACGTTCCAGATCCAGTGGCTTAAACTCACGCCGGGCGTGTGTGCTTGCGTGCCCAAGATCCCAAGAGGAGAATGAAGGAGAAGGGATTGTAGCACGGCCATCCCCCCTGGGGGCTGATTTCTCACTTTCTGTCTCTCTCTGTCTCTCTGGCGAGCACACACACCTTATAGCAAAAGCCTCTCCGAAAAAAAAAAAACGCACCCCTTTGGCCAGCTGGTGGTATGGTGGTTCAGGCAACTGGATCCCACATGGCCGACCGTATGGTTCAAGTGCCAGACCCATTGGCTTGAGAAACACACCGGACGTGTGTGCATGGCATGCCCAAAATCATGACAGGAGGAAGACGTGGAGGAGAAGGGAGAGAAGTGACCATTTCTCTCTCTGCCTTTCTCTGTCCACGAGAGTACACATGCACACTCGGTGTGATGATCATTCTTTTTCAGGTTTTTGTTTGCCATAGGTCATGTGTGCTCACTGGAGAGACAGGGAGACAGTGAGAGGGAAAGTGAGAAATCACCCCCCAGGACGGATGGTCACACCACAGTCCCTTCTCCATTCTCCTGGGATTTGGGGCACGTACACACATGTACCTGATATGAGTTGTAAGCCATTGGGTCTGGGACTCAGACTGCAGTCAGTCAGGTGGGAATCCAGCACCTTACCCACTATACCACCTGCTAGCCCCAAAGATAGATATATTTTTAGAGAATAAATAATCAGAATCCATAATTAGATGTTTTTGAAAGTGTTTTTTGGGGCCCTCTAATTGACATGGTGGTTAAGGCATCTGGATCCCACGTGACCGGGTGCATACTTTGAGTCCTGCACTCAGTGACATGAAAAACAGCCAGGCAGGGGAACCAGCAGTTAGCGTAATGGCTATGTCGCTGGACTCCCACGTAGTCGACCGCAGTTCGTGTCCCGGACCCGGTGGCTTAAAACTCACGCCAGGCGCATGTGCGTGCGTGCCCAAGATCCCGAGAGGAGAATGGAGGAGAAGGGATTGCGGCGTGACCATCCCCCCTGGGGGGGGATTTCTCGCTTTCTGTCTCTATGTCTCTCTCTGTCTGTCTGGCAAGCGCACGCGCCCTACAGTGAAAATCTCTCCAAAAAAAAAAAAAACAGCCAGTCAGGGGTGTGTGCACAAAATCCTGAGAGGAGAAGGAAGGAGAAGGGATTATGGCATGGCTATTCCCCCTGGATCTTGGTCTCTCCCCTCTCCCTCTTCCTCTCACCCTCTATCCCCTTGGCTAGTGAGTACCTTATAGCAAACTAAAAAATAAAAATGGGTGGGACCACCATGCCACCTGCCGGTCCCCAAAAATAGCATTTTAATTGGGACGGGATAGATAAGATTGACTTTACATTTAGCAGTTGTTGACAAAAATTTAAGGATTTGTGGAAAATATAATAGATGTACTACTCTGTTTTGTTTATGAACTAAATGCATAGTCACTAATAGAAGTAATATTTTGAGGTTCAAACTGGATTTTAAGTGTGTACACTTTCTTGGGAAGTCTTGATTTTTGGGTCATGTGGCCTAGTGAAGGTTCTCTTACTGTCTGGTGGCACCATTACCCTTTTCTGTTTTGGCGACATGACAGTACCTTGAAAGTGGTAAATGTGAATAGGTGCATAGTGGTTAAGGTGCCAGATCTCACAATAGCTGACTCTGCAGTTCGAGTCCTAGACCCAGCAGCTTGAAAATCACGCTGGGCACATGTGTATACATGACCAAAATCCTGAAAGGAGAATGGAGAAGAAGGGATTGCAGTGTGGCCATCCCTCCTGAGTGGTGATTTCTTATTTTCCCTCTCTTTGTGTTT